TCTGTAATTAAGGAAGAATGTTTGTTTCCAGTAGGAGCAACAGGTGAAAGGAAAAATGCATGTTTCAAATGTGATATAGAAGCTGGAATGTCTTGACCCAATATACCCAGTTTTAGCCAAGTAAATAATTTTAAGCTAAAAGAGTGTGTGATACAGGTAGTGCCTAGTACAAAAATGGCTGAGTTTTAAACTTCTTGCATTAATTTCTCTTGAATTTTGAGCCTGTTTTCTTTAGAAACAATCTGATATAACATAGTTATGGACCCAAGTCAGACTACTGCAAAGTGCCAATTTAGCACTACACAGAGTATATCTAAAGTTTTAAAAGTATTGGCCTGAGTTCTGGATCTCAAAAGCAGGGATGATAGCAGAGAAAAGAATGAAGAAGAGACAACGTATCTCGCTCCTCATCACACTTTCCACCATAGCCAAATTGTGAAAGAGGAGACTCAGTGCTCTTAAGTTATGCTTGCCCTTCTTACTACAATAACCTACCCACATACATTCCTCAAGAATAAGCCACACTATAAAAGCATCTACCGTTCGGGTGCCTGGGTGGCTCAGTTGGTTAAGCGACTGCCTTCGGCTCAGGTCATGATCCTGGGGTCCCGGGATCGAGTCCCGCATCAGGCTCCCTGCTGAGCAGGAGGGAGTCTGCTTCTCCCTCTGACCCTCCCCCATCTCATGCTCTCTCTATCTCATTCTCTCTCTCAAATAAGTAAGTAAATAAAATATTAAAAAACATCTGTTCATCTCCCTCAATCATAACTTCAATTCTTCGCTGTCTCTAGAAGGTGTTAAGAAAGCCATCTGATTTAAGTAACTCATACTAATGTGTTAATGACTGATTTGTACATTCATTTATAGACACAGCACATACACACACACACACACACACACACACGCAAACACATGGGCATATACAACTGCATTACTTATGTATTAGCTAGGCATCATTTTAGGAGCCAAAGATATGAGAGATTGGAAGGGCAGAGTTTCTGCTCCCATGAAGCTTACGTTTCAGTGGGGAGAGGTAGACAATAACATTCAAAAACAAACTAAATTGTCCAGAAAGTAATAAAGGCTCTACAGAAAATAGGGTGATATAACATACTTCACATTGGCGGTTAGGAAAGATCTCTTTGATGAAGTGACATTTAAGATGAGATATACTTGAAGACAAAGAGCCAGTCTTGTGTAAATGAAGGGAAAGAGCATTTTAGACAGCTAGTGCAACCTTGAGAAAGGAGTGAACCTGGGGCATGGAGGGCAGTAAACAGGCCAGTGGGGCTGAAGAACAGTGGGCAAGGGGGAACACAGAATGGAAAGACAGGCAGGGGCCAAATCACATAGGTCTTTGTAAGCCTGGCGGATACTTCTCAAGTTTATCCTAAGTAGGGAGCCCTCGGAAGACTGTAGGCAGAAATGGGGTCTGGATTTACATCTTAAAACAATCCTTAGCAGAAGCATGAAAAGAGACAGGAGGCCCCTGCAGGGGTCCGAGAGAACGGCCTACCCGGACCTGATGGTAGAGAGAGATGCACTGTAGGGGTAAGATCTCCGGGAGTTATGGATGGCTTGACTGTGGGGATGAGAAAAAAGGAATCAAGGACACTGGCTAGATGATGATATTGTTTTCCAGAAAAAAAGGCAAGATCCGGAAGGAATAGGTTTGGTTGAAGGATAAGGCCGTGGGCAGTGGAAATAAGCAGTTCTACTCTGGACATGGTGATTCGGAGCCCCACATTACACATCCAGCATCAATACAGGGAAGGAAGTTGGCGTGTGAATCTAGAACTCGGGAAAGTTGAGGCTTGGGATAAACATTTGGTAATCATTGGCATATTGGTGGCATTTAAGTCATGGAGACTGGTGTGATGGGCCAGGGAATGAGCCCAGATGGGGAAGAGAAGAGAGTTAGAGACCAGGCTCTACTTGCTTCAACATTTAAAAGTGGAAGGAAACTATTCAGGAAGCCCCTCTTCTCCAGACAAGGAGCTCTGCAGAGGGTGATTCAGGAAAAGAAGGCTCTTACTCTTTTAACAAGTGTGAGTCTTTAAGGTTGAGCCCCCTCATTCCCCATGAAGACCCTCAGGAGTCCTCCTCTGCCAACAGATTATTATGAGCACTTGATTACCAGTGGTAGGAGGAAGAAGCTCTGTCTCACCTGGAAAGGCATAAGCTCTTTGCCCCATAGATTTTGAATATGATAAAAAAAATACTTTAAATGAGCTATTTAAATATTTAATCCTGCCTTGGGGCAGGCCATCGGAAGCTGAGAATCCAAGGGTCTCACCTACCAAGAGGCAGCAATACATCAAATGCTAGCTTGGAGACCTTCTACTTTAGGAAAAGGGTCAAGACATCAGCCTACAGAAAAAGCTGGGCCTCAGGACCAATGATTAGTAGTAAGCTTTGAGTGAAAAGAATTAGTCTCTTTTATTCTTCCACCTGTAGCAACTGAGCTTTGTCATCTGGGAATAATAGAATTTTTTTTTTTTTTTTTTGAGTCAGGAGATAAAAAAAGCACTGCTCTGAATCATCAGGGTTCAAGAATAAAGTCAGAAATATGTTTGTTCAGCATCTTGTTCAATCTGCACAGCTTTTTTTGTGGGGATGTATGTTTATATAAATATGATTATGATATTACCTATGACTATATTGTGTGGGGAACATGCTGCCCAGCTCATATTACAGCAAATTACAGGAATTCTCCTGATAACAGCATAGAAATCTGTTTCCTGATGGGAAGAATTTATGGCAGTGAAGGGAAACCCTTTTGACAGCTAATGATTCTGTTGTATTCTCCCCAACAGGCTTTCTTACCTCTTGATGCCCCTACCTGGGTTCTGAGCCAGTTTTAAGTGGCAGAACAAATGAGGTTTGTACACTAGGGTTTAGTGTAATCCACATTTCATGTTACAGAAAAAAAAAAAGTTAATGATATGGTATGGCTGCCACACTTTTCAAGAGAGTTTAGTACAAGAGATGCACAAAGCTACTTTGGAAGACTAGTGTACAGGAAAAAGAGCCAGTTTTGAGGTATTGAGATGAGGAGCAGGGAAATTTAAAAAACATATATTTTTAGAAACAAGGATTTGATGTAGTAAAAGCATTTCTTTTGATCATTTGGAAAACAAGAGAGGCATTTGGTAGGACCAACTGCTGACTTTCCAGAGAAGTAGGTTGATTTTGAGTACCTCTAATGAGAGACCTAATTTTGCTCTCATTATCATAATTTGCACATATTCTCCTTAAGGGTTAAACCTGGGGCCAGAAGTGTGTGCTAACTTGGGCACCATTTGATACAGTGATTTAAGCCTTAGGGAGAGTAGACTCCAAAACATATTCCTACAGTAACCTGAGAGTGATGGGTATAGTAACCTGAGATAGAGGAACTGTTATGTTTAATTTCATTGGGTATATATGTTCTCTAAACAAAATAACTCACAATATGAATATTTTAAGGTTTTCCTCCTGCTTGCTAAATTTCTGGTTATTTTCAGAAAAAAAAAAAATCAAAATAAAGACCAAAATTGGAACTGCTAGAAACAGCTGGTGTTGAGAGGGAGTCTGATCTCCTCTGAGGATCAGCAGTCAACCGGAAGACTTTACATAGTTCTACTCACTAAGACAGTCAGAGAAGGACCCCCTAAATCCCCTGAGTCCTCCATTAACTCACTTACACCAGAACCCCGTCAGGCGTCTTGACCAGGACTCCCACATGGTCGATCATTTGGATAGCACCATGGGCAATGGCTCACCACTATGAATCTGGACACTTTACTTCTGGTTATTCAAGGATGAAGTATCCAAACCTATACTGGTCAGATCATCTGCAGCTATTCATAAATAATAACAAAAGCTGTTGTTTTAATCAAATTCCTTCTATGTTTCAAATGCTTCACTAGATGCATAATTTATAGGTGTCGTCTCCAGTTCTTGCCATGATTCTGCAAGTTCAGTATGATTATCCCTATTTTACAAATAAAGAAAGACTCAGAGACACGGAAGTGACAAATACCTGAATGGAGAAGAACACCTAGTGAGCTCCATTGAAGAGATATATGCATGATTTAAACTGCACTTGTTTTCAGAGTCCCAACCAAAAGCCAGGGTTAGCTGGATATCTGTCAAGATGTCAATTAGCACTGGGCCTGCATCCAGAACTTTGGTTACAGTAGGCTCCAAATGTGCACCAGAATCACCTGTGAGCTTAAAACACGCATGTCTGGGTCCTTCCTCTAGGTCTTCTGATTCGTGGGTTGCAGGCATTTGTATTTTTTAAACAAGCTCCCAGGTAATTCTGATGCTCACCCAAGCTTGAAAATTACTGCTGTCAAGGTCATGTCTGGGAGGATGATTTCTTAGAAGTCTGGGCAAATATAATGAGCTACAGTTGTAGATTGGAAGAAAAATTTATCTTATAAGGAATGCATGAAGGGACATCCACGAAATGTGTCCTTGGCCTGCTTGCTTTGGCTGGGATTACTTTTGCCCTGATCAATGTCTACTTTTTTTTTTTTTTTTTAATTTACTCACATTAACTTTTGGGTCAAGAGACTATTGTATCAGGTCTTCAGTAGGTATTTATCTCAGTTACTCAACCAATAGAGTTTCATGGAAATGATCCAAATGTTAGTAAATATAAAAAAGACAGATTTTGTGCTTGAAGAGGATTCTGTAATTTTGTTTTGTGTTTTAGAAAGTGCTAACTGTAATGGGAAGCTGATCTGTCGGTCTAGCCATCAAACCAATCTGTTCTCACCAGGCAGTCCCTCTGGGAATGCTTTTCTGTCATCAAGATGATACTGACCAGCCTTCTAACCTTGAAAAATGCCATGACAGTCTTCCGGCAGTGACATTATTTCTATCTCTGGGCTCTTGCCTTTCATAGGCCTGTTTGTTATCACAGTCCTTGAAACTGTGAGAAAGAAAAGGTCAAGAAGGTGAACGGGCTGCCACGGCTGGGGGAAATCATATACAAACGTATTCTCTACCTGGTACCGAGGTGCCGAGGGCGACGAACACCACTGCGGTCACAGAATCTTTCAGGCCAATGGTGCATCCGAAGTGGGAAGCCAGGTCTCCGATGAAAGCCGTCAGGATGCCGATCATGAGGATGGAGACGATGAAACAGGCCCAGCCGTTCCAGTACTCTGTAGGGGGGACGAAGGCGAAGAGAACCTTCCAGAACACGGTCAGAAAATGCATCACATAATCGAAGCAGGAGGGCAGCTTCTCCTCTCCACATTCGTCGTCGTCATCATCTTCCCCTGGAGGGAGGAACGAGGCACATGTCATCGCAACCCGGGCTCGGCGGGGTGGTCTTGTCTGCCTCCCTCCATCCTCCGCCTCGTCCTCCCTCCCCTCTGAGTGAAGCAGGAGGTCATGAGAGATGACGGAAGCTTAGGGTTTTCTAAGAGTCAATCATAATTAACCAATTAGTTATTAAGCTACCGACCTACCCGCTCGCTGTGGTTGATGGGTCAATGGCAAAAACTTAAGCCGCCACCCGGTTTTGGTTATGTGCAGTCGACACACCCTTTCTGTGGTTCTATCACCTCCAGGGGGAGTTGTCATGCCAGGGAAATGAAAAGGATTTCTTCCAAAAGACTGGGAAGCCCTGTGTCCGGCTCAGAAAGAAGCCTCTTTTGACCAAAGATAACAATGACAGACTTTCCCTCACCAGGGTTCTTCCAGCCTGGAGCCCGGCTCTGGGGATTCACCGTTCAATAATCACCCACGGGACAGTGTTCAGACAAGGCCCTCAAGCACAGCTCTGGGCCCTACAGAGTTCTCCAGCTTTATCTCTTGCAATTACTTCAAACTCAGACTTCATCCTAGGCAACGGAATTATCTGCATTTTTTTTCCCCCAAACCGTAAGTACTTTCTCCTACTTTTATCCGCTAGCCCTGAATGTGTTTGGCGTGTCCTAATCTCCCCTCCTTCCCCTTCCCCACTCATCCTTTAAAACTCACTTCCTTCGTGCAACCTCTGACGGCCCCCTTGCCCTCCAGCCAGGGCTGGAAACCCCTCCTCAGAGCTTCCACGGGCTTCGGACACTTGGGACGCCGCATCAGTGGTTCTCCAGCTGTGGTCCCTGGACCAGCGGTATCAGCCTCACCAGGGAACTTGTTGGAAAAGCAAATTCCTGGCCCCACTGAATCGGAAACTAGAGGCCTGGGGGTGATTCGGATGCACACGCAGCTTGAGAACCAACCTCTCTCTAGACGGCCCTTTCATTTTCTTCTCCAGTTGACCGCGAGCCCAGCGAGGTCAGGCGTTTGTTCATGTTCATTTTTGAGTCCCTAGTGTTTGGTCCAATCTCCAACACATGGAATAAGCTGGCTAAGGGCTTATTAAATGAATGAATGCATGCATGAATTTCCACCGACTTTATATAACTGCTTAATTATATAATATATGCACACATAACCCAATTCTGCCAATTACATCATATAATCAGTGCATAAAGAAATGCACCAAGCTTACTACTGAAAGGAACCAGGAAATCAATAATAGTATCCTAAAACAGAGACTTCATTTATAATGGGATATAATCCCCACTCACATATTTTAACATTGGGGTACTGAATGCCAACTCTCCTCGAAGTGGTGGCAAAGAAATTTCATGTGTTTTGTGCCATTTTGGAAAGAACCCCTTGAGGCCTTTGTTCACTCCCCCACCCCCAAACCTTGTCACCGGGGATCTACTTTCCTTTGTCCAAGTAATGCCGTTGGCAGGTGAGGCTGTCAGACTTTCCAGCTGATCGTGTGACCTGAGATTACCAGCGAGGAGCAAATATGTGTGTTCTCTGTGAGGCACTCAGTGGTGAGGCCATCTGGTGCAGATCATTACTGGGAAAACCCTTAAGGCAGAGGAGCTTTGAGGGAAAAGTGCCTCTCGCAAAACACGGAAAGAGGAATATCTCCATTTGTCACCTGTCATGTCACAGGAAGCGAGACGAGGCTATGGCTTGCTCTGCCGTGAGCACATGGTCAGAATTATTATGCAAACAAACTTTGTGGGTCTGTGGAGAAAACAGCTCCCCTTTCAGGCTTTGGACTGTCTCCAGCGAAGTCTTGGGAGGAAGCCCCCAGCAGATGAATAGAATGACCTTTGGAGACTAGGTAGGTAGGGAACTCAAGTCAGGCCAGCTGGTAGAAAAGTATGTGACTCACTGGAGTAAGAAAGCATTGTTGACCATGTTAAAGTAACTGATGGAGGCCCTCAGACTGAGATGGCCCTCATGCCTTGGTGATCTATGAAGGCAAATCACAGCCTAAACCACATCAGTTTCATTCAGTACACTTGTATCCGAGAAAACACAATTTTAGAGCAACCAATCACAAGCAGCCACCTAGGCTTTACCAAATAAGGCACCCACTTAAGCTACAGCCAATCAAATAATTTCCTTGCTTTGCTTCTGCCTCTGCTCCGCAAAAAGCCTTTCCCCTCGCTCCTGTCCCTAAACCACTTTGACGTGGCTCTGCCTGATTTGAATACATATTTGCTCAGATAAAACTCTTAAAAGTTTTAATGTGCCTCAGTTTCCCTTTTGATAACTGTTTCCTATAGTGTCATGCTGTATGGCTATTACATATTTCTAATATCTTGCCTGAAAGCAGAAGATGATTTTAAACCAAAGCACACATTATGGGCTCAATTATCTCCCCCAGATTCACCTGGTGAAGCCCTAAGCTCAGAATGTGACTGTATTTGGAAATAGGGCCTTAAAGAGATGAGTAAGTTAAAATGAGGCTGTTAGGGTGGAACCCCAATCTAATCAGGCTGGTATCCTTGTGAGAGGAGGGCACTGGGACATACTGACAGCAGGGGTGCATGCATGTAGAGGAAAGACCGTGTGAAGCACAGCAGGAAGGCAGCCCTTCTCCCAAATCAAGGAGAGAGGCTTCCGGAGAAACCAAACCCGCCCACATGTTGGTCTTGGGACATTTATCTTCTGGACCCGTGAGAAACTAAATTTCGACTGTTTAAGCTACCCGGGCTGTGGTCTTTTGTTATGGCAGCCCTAGGAACCTAACACAGTCCCTTCGGAAGCCTCCTGTGGCGTGACACTGATATTGAAGGCCAGCCACTCGGTGTTTCGATCACCCGTTCCTTTCTTGTTTGCTCGTCCATTGCTTCTTTGCTCCTCCTCTTACTTTTCTTCCCATTTCCCTTTTGCCCTATGCTTTAGCTCCAGGAAGAACTTACTGTGAGAGCTGCAGTTGTCAGGGCTTATTGGAGAGAGAGAGGGAGAAGAGAATCCTGTTAATCCTTCCTCTCACTTCTCTCCTCCCCCACTCCCCATCCCAAAGAGGAGAGAGTTGCTCATGCCCTACAAAAGCTTGGGGAAAGCACTAGACTTTATTTTTATTTTGAACATGATCCTTGTAAGTTCCTATATTCTATATTTTTGGACATTTTGTAACTTCATAGGGTATATGATTGAAACAATTTGGAAAACACTGAATTTTAATCATTTATGGAAACAGATCATTCTGCCTCTAATTCTACGAAATTGCTTAATTTGGCGTGTCTAAGACTCACAGTGTGAAGATGAGCAAGAAAGCAAATAGTGAAGCATCTCAGAAGAAATGACACTTATAAATCGAGAGTAGATATTACATTTGTCTTCAAGATGGAAATAATAACACCTTTCCCATGAGGGATGTGCAAAGGAATAATTAGATCATCTCTTCAAAGTGAGGATAGTTCAAGATAATGATGAGCATGGTAGTTAGCGTTATTGTCCTCCACTTAGGATTGTACTGTGTTTCCCTGTCATTACGTAATTGCTTAGTCAACATGCTGGGTCCTACGGTTACAGCCTAGGCTTTTAGAAACAAAAGTTAATCTTGCCCTCTGGAATTAGCTTCATGATCTATACGTGTGGAATGCAAAATAAGTGTGTGTGTGCAAGAGAGAGAGGGAGAGAGGGACAGAGAAGTTTCCTTCTGGAGGTTTCCAGCATTACAAGGTATCTGAAATATTTTAGCACTCAAGTCTGGAATGGGAGGCCCATCTGTTTTATTACATTTGAAAGTAGAAATGCCCTCCTCTCCTCTTCCCCGGGATCACACTGTTCTTTATAAATTTTAATCTCCAACTCAGATGCCATTTAAATAATAAAAATGACCATGGGCTGCCACGTATCATGCACAATTACCTTGTCTTGGAGAAGGTAAAAGAAATGGGATGTTCATCCGCCACCATCAGGACTATACTTAAAAGTTTGTTCTTTGCAAAGAGCGGTGGAAGATTAAAAACAAAATCAAAACATCTGGAGCATTTTTATGTGATGGCAAAGATAGTAATCTGCCAGTTCTGTATGTGCGCCAGCTCAGGCTTACTGGAGGCTACGTAATCCTTTCAAGTCCCTCCTCTGCATTAGCAAAGAAAAACAGGCAATGGGGGAGGGGGGTCCCTTTTATACATCCCAAGCAAAGGATCTTCTTATCTCAGAATCCTTCTTTTCAGCTTTATGGATTCCCCTAATGGAAAGATAAGAAGCTGCATTCAATTAATCCTTCCCGTGGCCCTTCACATGGTTTCCTTGAGACATGTTGGGACTTCCTAAATATAACTACAAAAATAGCCAAATCATTAAAACCACTGATAAAAGAGAGAGCATCACTTCAACTACTGACCTAACAGAACTTGCACTGACCTCGCTCTGGAGCATGAGAACAAAGGTGGCATCAGCACAACTGATCATGAAAGGGAACCCTGGGCTTGGCACCTGCAGATAACCAAGCAACTAATGTAGACCAGGTATTGGTGGGCATCCCTCCGGAGGCACTCAGGGTTTGGCCTCAGGGAGAGCTTTGACAACCGGAAAAAGAGGCGACTGAGGTGTAGTGGACACTCAGGCCAGAAGACTTAACAAAATTTCTAGTTCTCAGAGCTTGTTTGGGAGCAGGACTTGACCTTCCTAAGCCTCAGCTCCTCATCTGTCAACCGAGTTTCTTAACTCCCACATTATTGATCTGTTGTGAGGATCGGAAGAGGAAATGTGAAAGTCTTCTGTAAAACTGTGAACCCCTTTACAGACAGCTGTGCCATAGTCCATCACTGTTACTTGTCAGAAGGCAGGCAGCAAATCAATATGATCTGAGTATCCTGATTTCACAGAAGCTATATTCTGTTTGAATGAGTCATTATCACCACTGCTTCCCCAAGACCTTGATTTTAAGAAAAGAAAGAAAGAAAGGAAGGAACAGAGGGAGGGAACATGATAGGGTGTCTTCTAAGTGACAGGCACTAAA